ACCTGGTTACCACAGCATTGTGCAGAGGTAAGCCATGTTCCATCCAGCATGTAGTGAATTTTGGCTTTAGATGTAAGTTTAAGGTAAACATTTTTTACGTAAGAGTAACAATGTACTAAACTGACCGGTCCAGTATTTGGGTTACCAGTAGTGTAAAAGAATATGCCCCTTTGTTTCCTTTCTTGATGCTTATTATCTTATACTAGACTTATTGCTTTTTGGGTTTAATGAATGTTTTGGTGTGAGGAGTTGGCACTTTGAATCATGGCAGCAGAAAACTGAAGGCATATACAAGATGAATGTAGTGACATTGTACTTAGAAATCCAGGTTGAGTCTTTGTTTCTATTGTCGTTTACCCCCCTTTTTTTTTAGGCCTATGGATTTGTCAACTATTAAAAAAAACATTGAAAATGGACTGATCCGCAGCACTGCTGAATTTCAGCGTGACATTATGCTGATGTTTCAGAATGCTGTAATGTATAATAGCTCTGACCATGATGTCTATCACATGGCAGTAGAGATGCAGCGAGACGTCTTGGAACAAATACAGGTACTTTGGGGATCCTTTGTTTTGACAGAGAGGGGTGCTATGGCTTTTACTTGGAATAACAGTAGCCTAATATTCTGTTTTGGCTTACTTTATGTTGATTTTCCTCTAGTCTTTGTGAGGAAGTTATGATAGAGTCAGTCTTAGGCAAATTACTTCTATTTTCTGAAGGATTGATTGTGTGTGTTTAGGAATTAAACTTAGAGCCTTCACACTGAGCTATATTCCCAGCCCTTTTTTTAATTTTTATTTTTTTATTGAAACAGATTCTCACTGAGTTGCCCAGGCTGGACTTAAGCTTGCAATTCTACCTCAGCTTCCGAGTGTGCTGGGATTATAGGCATGTGCCATCACACTGACTCTTTTTTTTCAATTTTTGTAGTGTAGGGATCAAATACAATACCTCAAGGATATTAGGAAAGTACTGTACCACTGAGCTATATCCCTATCTTGAAGTTTTTAAGTAAATTTTTTTAAAAATGAATTTTAAAAATTCATTTTAATTGTGCAAAGTATCTGGTAAGTGTACTCAACAAAAAGAATTCCTTCTCTGTCCCTTTTCTTGACCAGATAATTACTTTTGTCCTGAAGTTGTATTATCAGTCACCATTTGAAATACTGAACCTTAAGGCAATAATGTGTCTTTGCAGAGTGTGTCAAATTACTTTAGTTGAGGAATAGCCTTTGGTCAGTTAGACTAATCTTCTTTTTCTTATTCTTAGAGGGCAGAAATTTTTGTTCTTGTAAGGAATTTATAGAACTATTTGCCATTTTCAGATTTATTTTCTATTTGGAGGGGGTAGATAGGTCCCCAGTGCTGGGATTACAGGTGTATACCATAATTTCTGGCTCTTTAGGATTCTTTTGGATGCCTATTAAACTAAAATTAAAACAATATACTAAATTAACAATAAGCCAAAAAGTATTTAAAAATAAAAAGTTTTTTGTTGTTCTTGTTGTTTTGAGACAGGGTCTCGCTCTGCAGTTCAGGCCGGCCTTGAGCTCACTTTATAGCCCAGGCTGGTCTTGAATTCACAGCGATCCTCCTGCCTCAGCCTCCTGATTGCTGAGACTACAGGTGTAAGCCACCACACCCGACAATAAATAAAAAGTATTTAAGGACTAGGGCTATAGCTCCTAACTTGCTTACCTAACATGCCCCAATCCCTCAACACCACTACTGCCATCAAAAAAAAAAGGTACTGGAGTAGAATACCTGAAGTTCTGGGTTCAATCCCTAGCACCACTAAAAAGCAGGTATTTAAGTGAAGGGCACATACAAAATCCTATTTATGGCTAGGTGGTGATATACCTCTATAATCCCAGCACTCAGGAGGCTGAGGAAAGAGAACCACTATGAGTTTGAGACAAGCCTAGACTACATAGTGAGACCCTGTCTCAGAAAAACAAAAACAAAAACCCCATATTTACACAGCTTGAGGTTCTTCCTTATTAGGTCAGGTCTCTATGGCCAATCCTGTTTCTTCTCCTTACAGCAATTCTTGGCCACACAGTTGATCATGCAAACATCTGAGTCTGGAATTAGTGCTAAAAGTCTCCGAGGGAGAGATTCTACCCGAAAACAGGATGCTTCTGAGAAGGTAAGGAGACCCACAAAGAGTCTGTTTGCTAGTGTTGCCGTGTTAGAAGTCTAAAGCACATAAGAACTTTATGTTACCTCTTTGCACTGCCAACCTTGTACTAGATAGGTTAGATAGGTACTTAGATGGGTTACAGATACTTAGATATTAGAATGGAAGTCATTTGCTCCCATGCAATCATTAAAGAAACCTGCTAAGCCTGAGAGACCTGGTTACCTGAGAGGAATTTTTAGTGATGTGAGAGAATTATTTATTCCTTTGGGAGCATGCCCTCAAGTGTGGGGGAAATGACCCAGCTTGGTCGAGTTGAGCTGTGTCAGTTCCCATTCCAGTGTCATAGTGTCTAGATTGCTTTTGAATCTCTCTCCTCTTGTTCTTGAGTTTTAAAATTTTGTCAGTGTGTATGGTGCTTGTGTCTCTGTCCTGAGGTTTGGGGTGCTTGTGGCTGAGAGTTTCTGTGGAACCTGATCAGTGTTTGTTTGTCCTCTAACAGGATAGTGTCCCCATGGGCTCTCCTGCCTTCCTTCTCTCTCTCTTTGTAAGTATTGAAAAGCTGCAAGGGGTGGTATCACCACAAAGATTCTCAGCTCCTGCTGGGGGTGGGTGGCAGGGGGAAATCCAACATGCAGACTGTGGCAATGTCTTAAACTTCTGTTTACTCAGGTCATTGAATAAGAAACTGTCTTTTCTTCTGCATTTCTGTCTGTTTTGCATGTGTGTGTGTGTGTATGTATGTGTGGGGCATTCTGGGAAAGTAACTATTTATGAGATGATTAGGCTAAAAGGAAGTATTTCTAGGGTAGAGGGATAAAAAAAAATCTGCTCTTCATTTCTTGACTCTACCATTGGCTAATAACTCTTACCATTGGCTAACTTTCCTTAAAAATATGAGATTGCTCAGAGGTGCTATTGCTACCTAACTTTGATGGTGTTCCTCATACTGTCAAATACATAGCACATAATTTTTCTCTTTTTTCCTTGTAAGTTGCAAGTCTTAATGCCAGATAACACTCAGTAAAATTTAAGCTAATGATCTCAGTAACATTGACTATTGCATACAGTAGTGACTGATGAAATTATAGATAAGCTTACTTCAGCTACTCTAAAGACTTAACGCTTTCCCTCCATGAATTAAATGATTCTGTGTTGTTCATTATAGAGTAGTGAGGCATAATATAATAAGAGGTGCATCAGGCAAAATACTGTATGGTCTTAAGGTCATCAGATAATTTGGGGGTCCCTTGTTTTCTTCATCTGTGTGATCGGACTAATATATTGAAGTACCTGTCCAGCCTACCTCACAGGGATGTTGTGAGGATGAAATGAAAGTATGAGTATGGAACTGACTTGAAAAAAATTAAAAGTGTTATCCAAATGCAAGGTGGTATTTTTATTCTTACTGTTGCCTCATAGACACCTTACATTCATGAACTCTAAAAATTTTAGAATCCTAGTATGTTAAGAATGTAAAAATGGGTAATGTATCTCAGTGGTAGAGCACTTGGTAAGCATGTGCTGAGACCCTGGGTTTGATCCCCTATACCAGAAAAAAAAAAATTCTGTAAAAATGGTCTAGCCCAGCAAAAGTGTTCACTAGTTCATCTTGTTCATACAGGCCTCTCAGCCTGTACAACAGACAGAACACTATGATCTCCGTTCTTATTGGCCTGCAACAGTGACTCTGGATCCCCAACAATTGGCTGGCTATTACAAGGCTGGTTAATAGGATCTTTTATCTATTGAAGACAGCAAAGTATTGCACAAGAGGAAGGAGCTGGGCTGCAGGGAGAGAGCAGCAGATGGAAAGAAGCCTGATTGTCCTGATCTCATGGAAAACAACTGTCAGGAGGTGCTAGGGAACTAGTGCCAGGGTCAGTCTGCAGGAAAGGCCTTTCTTATAGGGATCAACAGCTGGACAGGTATGTTAGCCAAGAATCACTATCCTTGCCCTTTCTGACTCTTCTAACCTTTCATTTATTCTTTCTGTTCCTTTGCATATGATTTGGGCCTGGGTGGGATGACTAATACATAGTCATTCTGTGGGACCCTACGTGAATTCCAAGGATCTTTGTGATGGGCATGAGCAAGATACTCTGTCCTGTATTTCCCTTCACAAACTACCAGGTGTTTCTATAGGTACTCTGTGGGAAGACGGAAATATGCCCCCTTGACCCTCAAGTTTTTGGCCAATTTTTTTCTTCTTCCCCCAAGAGATGAAACCCCAAAATTCCTGTTGAATCTTGTGTTTTTCTCCTGACTCATTCTTACTGCTTTCTTTTTTCTGCTATCACCTAGGATGGGGGAACCAGGGGACGTCGCTGTGCCATTGAAGCAGACATGAAGATGAAAAAGTGAAGCTTTAGAATATCATCGCTGAGCCAAACCTGAAACAGAAGTAAACAAGATAGAGCTTGGGCTTGTGGGCCCAATTCTGGAAGTGGAAGTTAAACAAGGAGATGCCTGGGCCACACAACATGAGCTGAGGAAATCTCAGTTAGAAAAACGGTTGCCTGTTTTAGGGCAAAAATCATGGGCTATGTTAATGCCCCAAATGTGTAGCTAGCAGATTGTAGCTAGTTTGTACTGTCTTGTGAAGTATACAGACTTTAAAAAAAAAAAAAAGCCTGTGAAGTGTGTATGTATAAAATAAACTGAAAGAAAACCCTAGCCCTTGCTATGTCCTTTGTGTTTGTGCGTACACATACATGAATTTGGAACTTGTGGCTTCTGCATGGTAACTAATGTGAGAGTAAGATTGTTTAGAGGGGAAAGGTGATCTTACGAGCTGCCTGCTATAGCTGAGAGGAGGTAAGTAACCAAGATTGAATTTGTAATTCAAGTGTCTTGCAATAAGGAACATCTTAACTTTTCTTGAGTGAGAAAGTTTTACGGTTTTTGAAATTCTGTTCATGCTTTAAGATTAAAAAATATGCATTGATCTTAGTAATTTTTTTTTGATCCCCAGTACCAGTGCCAGGCAGGCACTTGTGTGACTGAGCTGTATCCGCAGCCCCTATTATCTCAGTAATATTTGTCTCAGTACTAGCTTTAAAAATGATAGTTCTATGATAGGTTATTAGCATTTCCTTTATATTCCTGTAGGTAGAACTCCTGTATAGAGAGTTGCCTTTTTTTTTTTTTTAACCTGACATATGAGTCTTACCAAATTGCCTAGGATGGGCTTGAATTCACAGTCCTGCCTTAGTCTCCCAAGTAGCTGGGGTTACAGGTTTGCACCATTGTGCCTGGCAAAGTTACTAATTAGTATTGCCATTTGAAAGCTAATCTGTTTTGCTTAGTGACACTTGCCTAGCATGCATGAAGCCCCCAGTTCCCTTCCCTGCACTACACACACACACACACACACACAGAGTCTGTTACCAAAGCCTACAACTTGTGACAGAAACACTGAGGCACTCACAGTTAGGAAAGTATGTGGGAAGGTTCAAAGATTATAGGCATTTACGGTGGCACTAAGGCAAGTGTAACTAGGACTAATTTGTGGAAGATGAAGATTGAGAAATTTGTATGTGAGATAGCTATTCAGAAGCAATGGGACTATTGAATGCTAGTTGGATTCCACTAGACATAATGGCACACTGCTGCATCCCCAGTTACTACAGAGATAGGCTGGAGAATTAAATTGGGACCAGCCTGGGCAACTTAGTAAAACCTTGTTTTAAGATTCTAAAAAGGGCCACATGTGGTACATGCCTGTTTTCCCAGCATTTGGGAGGCTGAGGCAGAATAAAGTTCAAGGCCAGCCTGGGATACATAGCAAGACACTCAAGAAACTTTTTTTTTTAAAAAAACTAGGGATGTTCATAGAGATTAGAGCACTGGCTTAGCATAAGAGAAGCCCTAGGTCCAATCCCTAATGCTAGGGGAAAAGCAAACCCAGAACACTGGCATTTGTTGAGGAACACAGGAAATTTATGGAAGGAATCTGGGAAGACTTGCTCCCTGAATGCAAGAGAGAGGAAAATGGATTTTTATAGACTTTAAGAAAATAGTATTTGGGGGCTAGGGATTTAGCTTAGCGGCATAAGGGCTTGCCTTGCAAGCAGGCAGTCATGAGTTCGATCCCTGGTACCGATAAAAAAGACCAAAAAAAAAAAAAAAGAAAATAGTATTTGTAAGTAGAGATAAGGAAATTTGGTAAAACAAGGTTTTTGAGATGGGAAGAAAGGTGATTTTAGTTTTAGAAATGTTAAATTGAAGCCGTTGGTAGAACATCTAAAGAGAATTGAATTTTAGAAGCATGGAGAAATGACTGTAGGGCATAGGGGATGTAGCTCAGTGGTAGAGCTCTCACTAGCATACATTAGACCTACATTTGAGCCTCAGGACTGCAAAAACTAGGGACAGATTTGGGAACCACTTAAATAGAAAATAAAGTTGAAACCTCAAAAATGTATGCATTTATCAGTGGTAGTGGTAGTTCTTTTGGAAACAAGATCTTGCTATATTGTTCAGACTGGCCTAGAACTTGAAGTTCTGCCTCAGTCTCTTAAGTAGTAAGAACATGTTTTAAAGGAAGCACCAGTAAGCAGAAGACCAAGCAGAAATACAGAAGAAAAGATTTTCTTGAAAGTTACCAAAAGCAGAAGACAAAGGTGTAAGAAAAGCAGTATAATAGTATAGGACAGTGGACAAAGGAAGACAATATTAAAGCTCATTATTTCAGTTTTACTCTCAGAGGAAACAGTTGGATATGACCAGTAGGCTGCCAAAAGTAATCCTAAGTATTTTGAGGATTTAATGATTAATAGGATAAATGAATATGCAAAAGAAATACTCCCTTTCCCCTTTGGTAAAGTTTGCTGAAGGATGAGGACATCCATGTAAAAAACCTGTTGGGGGGACTGGGATATATCTCAGCTGTATAAGCGCCTGCCTAGCAAGTGCAAGTTCCTGAGTTTGATTCCCGGTACCAAACAAACAAAAAAAACCTGTTGGGTAATAATCTTTATTTTATTGGCACAAAGCTGCTGCTTATTCCAAAAAACAAAGATCATCTTAAAACTATTTTATTAGCTAATTATATTCTTCCTATTAATGAGTAGAAAATTCTGGCCCTTTCTGCTAGACTTGGAAGACAGATGCTTTAAGAATGTTGATTTAAATGAATTTAATGCATTTTCTGTATGTTTACAGATGGGACATGAGTGGGTTTGGTTGGATTCTGAACAAGACTATCTCAATGACTCTGAGTTGAGCAACAACTACAGATCCCTCTTCAGCTCATGGGACTCCAGTCTGGATCTTGATATGGGCAACTGGAGGGAAATCGAGGATCCAGAGGTGGAGGAACCAGAGGAAAGCAGCCCAGGGAAAGAACCTAGTGAGCTGTTTGTGGAGGATGGAGGCAGTGAGGAATCTCAGGAAGAAGCGGAGCAAGTCAGCTGCCAGAACCTCCTTCAGTTTCTCTCTGAGGTAACAATGAGCTGTTCCCAAAGCTGGAAGAACCTCAACTTTCTAAGAATACTTACCCTTATGTGTCTCTGCATCTCAAAATTGTTGAGTAAAATACACACTACACAGTGGAAGTGGCTAAAGTTCATTGCTCTGTCCCCAGCATTCGGTAATGACACAGAATATGCACCAAACATACATATTTTGCATGCATGTTTTAAAGACACCTCTCCACCCCCACCCAGTCCTTAGGAGCCTGAATCATAGGAAGTGAGAATTCTGTATGCCTGGCAGTCTTACTAGTGTCCTTGCAATTCATTTTTTTTTTTTTTTTTCAGTCATGGGAGATTATACTTGCCCAAACTCTTTAAAGATAAAATACTTTAGCCAAAGATTTTGTTTTGTGGTAATATGTGGTGGTACTGGGTATTGAACTCTAAAGTCTCTCACTGAGCTACATCCCCCAATCCTCATTTTTTATTTTGAGACAAGAGTTTTGCTAATTTGCCAAGACTGGCCTCAAATTTAGGATCTTCCTACCTCAGCCTCCTGAACTAGCTGCCAGTTTCTGGCAGTGTTTTTGTTTTGCTTTGTTTTGTTTTGTTTTGTTTTGTTTTGTTTTTCTTTGAGACAGTCTCTCACTATATAGTGCAGGCTGGTCTTGATCACTTACATAGTCCAGACTGGCCTGATCCTCCTGCCTCAGACACTGAATGCTGGGATTACTAGTATGTACCACCATACCCAGCTCATTAGCACTATTTTAAAGTGTCCTAATTAACCTAGATAGGGCCTGAGGACCAGGAATAGATTTGTACAGAGAATTTGTATTAATATTACAATAGAACACATACTGATGAAGTAAACCTATTTGCCTTTCAGACTTAGTTGTAATGACCATGTAAGCATATGGCATTACTCATGTATGGAGGATGATTTCCGTTGGTGTTCCTGTGCATCTAATAATAAACTTTGATTGCAGGTAGCTTATTTAATGGAACCATTGTGCATTAGCAGCAAAGAATCAAGTGAAAGCTGCTGCTCTCCACCTGGTTCCAGGCAACAAGGAAGGAAGGAAAATTGAAGCTACTGAAAGAGAAGGGGAGCCTTGCAGTGAGACTGAAGAACTTTTAGCCAAGATAGACTCCTTAGTAGCTGAAGAGAAGCTGTTGGGAGCAAACAGAAAGTCAGAAGTGACCCCAGACCCCTCAGATATTTGTGCAACTCAGGGACTACTCACAGAGAGAGAAGAGGTAACTAACTCTCATCAGCTGTCTGGTTGGTCTTCATGACCAGATAGAGGCGAGTGGTCAGTCAGCATATAAAAATCCAGTGAGTAGACCTCCTGGGTCCAAATCCTGGTGTAGTATCAGTTTTAGTTATATAATCATAGGCATTTTTCTTTTTCAATTCAAAACCTCAGTTTTTTTTTATTATAAATGAGATAATAGAACTCTTATGTTAGGTTTGCTTTGATTTTTGATATTTAAATGAGACAATTTAGCTTGAGTTGGTGGTACATATCTGTTATTCTGACAGAGGCTGAAGCAAGAAGATCAGTTGAGCCAGGAATTTGAGACCAGCTTGGACAACATAGCTAGAACTCATCTCAAAATAAATTAATCAATGCATGAGAAAATTCATATAAAACACTCAGTACAGTCCCTTGTCATGGTGAATAGTAAAATTTAGAATGCTATTATCATTATTAATATTACTTGCCCAGCTACATGTTTTAACTCCAGGGCAACAGATGATACGATTTCAATGAGTGTAGCATCCAACAAGAATTGAACAAATAGTACTTCTTCATTTTGGGGATAGGAGAATAGAGTCTTCAGTTCTTCACCCAACATCATTACCAAGAATTCATTGAGCAAGGCCTACTTAAGTTAGCTTTCTCTTATTTTTCTTATGGCTGTGCATAATTGTCCTTTTCTCATCTGAAACCTGAAGGTCAGTCTTCATTTACTGTATGCAAGTAAAATTACCAGTAAATCGCTTTCTAAAGTTTCCCTGAAATTCCCAGGGGGAGGCTCAGCAAGAATCCAGAGGAAAAGACCAGGGTGAAGGGTATGTTTCAGAGACAGAAGACCAGCCCGCTTCAGGAGACTCTGATGATGGCTTCAGCATTCAGGAAACTCCACTGGTGGATATTGTCTTCAGCCATGCTAACTCCTCAAGACTGTAAGTATAGGGCTGAGGGTATATAGCGCAGTGGTGGAGTGCTTCTCTATCTGGTTTTGATCACCAGCCCTGTCAGAGGGGGAAAAAAAAAAGATACGTAGATACAGAGCTCAGTGTTGTGGCACATGCTTGTAATCCCAGCTCTCAGGAAACTAAAGCAGGAGGATTACTGTGAGTTCAAGACCAGTTAGGGGCACATAGTGAGTTCAAGGCCAGCCTGAATTACATACCAAGACCCTGTCTGAAACTACGTCCTCCAGAATAGCATATATATGTACATACATTTTTTTTTATCTGTACTGGGGATCCAACTCATGACCGCCTGCTTGCAAGGCAGGTGCTTATGCCGCTGAGCTAAATCCTCAGCCCCATTTTTTTCTTTTTTCTTGTCTTGTCTTGTCTTTTTTTCATTTTTCCTCTAGGCCCTCTTCTCTGGCTCTTCCTTTAGTCTGTATTGCACACTATGGCCTTTGGAGTACTACTGCAAGTCTGCAGGCCTGATCTACAGCCATTAGTGACTTTTTTATTTACTGATAGTTGTGTGGAAGTAAAGGTGGAAATAAAGGTAGGCAACGAATTGTTTCTTAAAACATGGCAGGTATTACTGGGCATGGTGATGCATTCCTATAATTCCAGTTACTTGAAAGCCTGAGGCAGGAGGCCAGGTCAGCCTTAGTAATTTAACATAGCAAGATCCTGGTCCTGATTCAAGGCCGGCAGCTTTCTGATGCTGTTGATTTCAAGCAGGAGCCTAAAGAGATGTCTTTCTATGGTCTGTTGGCCATTTCAGAACTTGGGCAGTAAAATGATCAATTCATTAGAAAAATAGCCCAGGACAGGAGCCACCAGCCTTCACTGCGACCTGTGCCATGCTGGGACCTGGAGTGCTAGGAAACCAAGCAACCCCTTCACCTCCTGGTGAGCAGCTATGACCGTGGCAGGCTCTGGTGGCCCAGGATGGGAGCCACCGGCCTTCACTGGGACCCGTGCCATGCTGGGACCTGGAGCGATAGGAAACCAAGCAACCCTTCCCCTCCTGCCCGTTTTGTTTTGTTGACCTTCAATATACATGAAAGTGTGGACAGCTATTTTGAAGAGAACGAGAGACTCTACAACAGCCATTAGTGACTTCCTGTTGTTTGGTTTTGAAGACCTAAAATACTTTCCTCATTCTGTTTAGATCAGTTTTATACCATCTTGTTTTGTATGAAATCTGTATGCGAAGACATGGACAACTATTTGGAAGAAAACAAGAAGTAATATGATAGATAGTGAAGATCTCAAGTCATCTAGCTTTGAAATTTATATCTCTTACATTGCTTTCTTATGTCCTATTTTGTTCTGTTTTGTTGTGTTTAATTTTGCCCCCTTTAAAATAAAAATTAAAAATAAAAATAAATATAGCAAGATCCTGTTTGTCTCAAAAAATAAAAAAGGCTGGGGATATAGCTCAGTGATAGACCACTTGCTTAATATGTGTGAAGCCCTGGATTCTATTCCAAATACCATCAGAAAAAAAATTGATTAATTATAAAGTTACAGAATTTAGGGGTTACAGTCCTTTTCATACAATAAGTGCAGTAAACATCTGTTACATGGATTTGTGAAGCAAGTTGTACCAGTTCTAGTACCAATGTGTTAATATTCATTATGGTTGTATGAGCAGAAATGAAGAAATTTGTTTTAGGAAGAAAATTGAGAGTGGTGAGGCAATATGGTGATAACTAAGAGGAAATGGTGTGGGTGTTGCTGGTTCAGGCAAAGAAGCCAAAAAGATAGGAAAAATATGCTGGGCCTTCAGCTGAGTCACTGGTTGTGGCAGAATAAATGGGCAATACAAGAGAAACCATACCTCAGGCCCCATTTGCAGGGCAAGTGGAAAAATAAAGAACAGATTTTCATTTTTTTCTCCCAGAGAAATACATTTTAGAACAAGACATTTAATGCAAGTCTTGAGAATGTTGATGTCTTATTCTAAAGCAAATATAAAATGGGTCATAAAGAAATTATTTATGATTAATGAGATCTGTGAAATGAAAAACTGCAATAAATACATCTATTTTGAAGCTAATAAAAAACAAGATCTTTGTATGAGGCTTTCAAATTCATCTCATGGGCCCTCTGCCAAATTCCTTGTTCAAAAATATTTATATCCTAGGGCTGAGGATTTAGCACAGCGGCATAAGTACCTACCTGACAAGCGTTGAGTGTCCTGAGTTAGATCCTCAGTACTAAAATATTCACACTAGGGGCTGGGGATTTAGCTCAGCGATATAAGTGCCTGCCTTGCAAGCAGGCAGTCGTGAGTTCAATCCCCGGTACTGATAAAAAGGAAAAAGACAAAAATAAATAAATAAATAAATAAAATAAAATAAAATATTCACACCTTAGATAAACTAAGGCAACTGGAAACTATGGGAAAGATTTTCAGCTGCCTTTGTCTTTTGACCTTGCTTTTGTTTTTTTGGTGTTTTGTTTTGTTTTGGTCTTTTTGAAAAAGGGCTTCTCTTTAAGTGCTTTGAGAAGAAGAAAAAAAAAAGAAAAAGGGCCTCTCTATGGAGTTCATGGTGGCCTTGAACTCACTTTGTAGTGCAGGCTGGTCTCAAACTCACAGTAGTCCTGCCTCAGGCTCCTAAGTGTTGGGATTTCAGGCAGGTGCCACCATTCCTGGCACTGATCCTACTTTTAATGAATTACCACATTATGCTTTGATAAAAGAACTCAATTCAGACATCATGGCATTATCCCAAAAGCCAGACATTTGTGGACTGCATATTTATTTTCACCATTTTGGATAATAGGATATAATTTCAGAACTTCCAGATCATAGAAGAAAATGCTCAATTTGTAGAAATAGGACCTCATTTTTTCTTAAATCTGATAAAGATTTTTCAGGGACATTTTGGAGGACCAACTTTATTTATTTTTTTTTTTTATCTTTTTGAGACCGGGTTTCACTATGTAGTTCAGGCTGGCCTTGAACTCACTTTGTAGCCTAGGCTGGCCTCGAATTCACAGTTATTCTCCTACCTCAGCCTCCCAAGTGCTGGGATTGCGGGCATGCACCACCATGCCTGATTTGAAAGACCAACTTTATATGAAAAAAAAATATACCCCGTGTAGTGGCACACACCTGTAATCTCAGCACTCAGGAGGCTGACGCCAGCCTAGGCTACATAAATGAGTTCAAGGCCAGCCTGAACTATATAGTGAAACCTTGTCTCAAAAAGAAAACAAAAATTGGGGCTAGGGATTTAGCTCAGCGGCATAAACACCTGCCTTGCAAGCAGGCAGTCATGAGTTTGATCCCCGGTACCGATAAAAAGAGGGAAAAAAAAATCACTGCTCATCATCAGATACACACTGGCATAAGATCCATCACAGCTGTAAAATACAAAGAGAAACTGCAAGTAAAAGATGTACAGAAACTGAAGAAGAAAGAACCAAAGATGATTCTCCCACACAATCCCACTGAAGATGTTTTTTGGTATAGCAGCTGAGGAAAAAGCAATAGAAATATAATGGGTAAAATCAGAGCCAAAAGTTGATTTGAAAGCAAAGAAAAAAGAATTTGCAAAAGGCAAAGGAAATTGATGCAGAAGGTGAACAGTGGAAATTCAAAATCAATCAGTGGATAACTAAGAGGTTTTTAAATTAATGTATATTTATTTTGTATTCAGTGTATAAATACATCTGTTATGTTGCCTGCACTGCCTTATGTCAATTGGTATGCATTTAAAAGAAAAATTATTTTAGAATCAATGATGTTTATCTTTTTCTAAATAAAGCACTATATCACCTGAAAAAAAAAGAAAATTGAAGTGCCAAAAGCATAAAAACATTTATTTTACTTGGGAGACTGAGGCAGGGGAATTGCTTCAAGCTCAAGACCAGCCTGGGCTACAAAGTGAGTTCAAGACCAGCCAGAACTGCATAATGAAACTCTCAAAAGACCAAAAAAAATTTTTTTTCATTTTTAATGTATTATACTAATAGAGCTGTATAATAATAGCATTGATTTCTGTAAGTCATTTAAGGATGCATTGGCTGTGGACTGTAGTAAAATTATATCTTTTTGTAGTGATTTAGGTATAGATGAGAATAAACATGAATAGTTACTTGGAGATCCTCAAATTGGAGAAAGATAGGGAGTGTTGTGATGTCACATGGTTGTATACCACCTGGAAAATAATGCAGAGAGTATGAAACTTTGGGTGTGAAGCAAACTGCCCTAGAAGGAATGATGTAGTATATAAAATGGAAAGTATGACATGGCATTTAAATCTGCAATAAACAGAACTTTTCTAATGGGAAAACTATAAAATAAAACATTGAACTGTTGCATCTGTGAAGGAAAGCTAAATAAATTAGACAAGTTGGCCCAGGGAAAAAAGGAAGGGTCCTGAGAAGAAGTAAATTTTTCATAGGTAATATCTTTTTTAATATCTTTTTTTTTTTTTTTGTACCAGGGATCAAATTCAGGACCTTGTGCTTGCCAGGCAGGCACTTTTGCTGCTGAGCTAAATCTCCAGACCCCATAGGTACCATCTTAAAGAGCACTATGTAGGAAAGAATGAAAAGGAAAAATAGTGAAATTGTGTAGCATTCACTATATAATTATTCACTAATAAGATAACTATTTACTATATAAAGTGGTTATTTCATATTGGAAGCTAGATATTTGCTTTTTTTGGAAATGTGGAAAAGGTGACATATTTCTGCATAAAACAGGACCAGATTTTTTTTTTTAATACTGAGGATCAAACTCATGACCTTGCACTTGCCAGACAGGCGCTTGTATTTCTGAGCTATATCCCCAGCTCCAAGTACCAAATTAATATACCAAATGCTCACTGAACACCTTCTGTATTCTGGGCTCTGTTTAAAGTATTTGGAAAACATCATTGAACAAAGATTACTTTCATGGGCCAGTTCTTTTTTTTTTTTTTATCTTTTTCTTTATAATTTTTATTTTAAAAAGAATTAAACCAAGCAAAATAAAATAGAATAAAGCCAATCAAAACAAAACTGTAAGTAATACAGGATTTCAAAACAAGATAATAGGAAATCAACAATGGTTACTATAATGCCACTTGTCTTCACAGTAGCTATCAGACAGAGTAAAATCAAAACAGAAGAGAACCAATAAAAACAGTGAACACAATACAGGACTTCAAAAAGAGATGAGTAAATCCAAAATGGCTACCATAATATATCTTGTTATCTTTGAAATAGCTGCCCATGCCATCAGATAAAATAAAATCAAACAAGAAAAAACAGGATCAACCAAACCAAACCAAACAATGAAAACAATATAGGACTTTAAAACAAGAATTAACAATGGCTACCATCTTCAGAAGGAGATCCCCCATAGATGCTGTATTGCATACTGTTATTGACTAAATAGATAATCAGACTACTGGATTTAGGCCTGCAAAGTTAATGAAACACTAAACACTGTAAGCATTACATTGTATTTTACTTCAATAGCTATCATCTCTGCCTGTGTTTCTCCAGATCAGCTGGTCTTTTTTTTGAGACAAGATTTCACTATGCAGTTCAGGCCTTGAACTCACTTTGTAGCTCAGGCTGGCCTCAAACAACACCTTCCTTTCTCAGGCTGGCCTTCACGTCACGGTGATCCTCTTGCCTCACCTTCCAAGAGGATTATAGATGTTTACCACAATGCCCAGCTCATAGACCAATTCCATAAGGTCACAGGTACTGCAAAGCAAATCAGCAGGATTAGAAAAGGAACAATCATTTGTAGATTTGTACTATACTTGAGAAAAAGGGGAATAGCAGTAAATAGATTATTCACAGTGTTTCTGGTTCCTATGGAAGCATTAAATATATTTTTATTCCTATGGTATATTCCTTCAGATGTCAGCTAGCACTGTCCTTTGAGAAAACCTCATTACCCACCTGGGAAAGAGAATACCATTTGTGAAGTTAACACTTTTCTTTCCTATGTTTTGTGTAGGACTGATCTAAGCCAAGGTGACCCTGTTCATGATCATTTGCCATTTAAGAAGACTCTTCTGTTAGTATGGAAGATGGTTGCTAGTCACAGGTAGGTTTCCAAAATGGTAATAGGATTAGTTTAGAACTAAAATAGTAATCTAGTAGGGATTAAGGATAAAAGGAAATATGTTCATCCCTCACATGAACCATAGTTAAGAAGCAGATCTTTTGTTTAAGCCTGGATTAACCATAGGTATCTACAATTGCTTTCACTAGTCTGTGTAAGAAATATTTTCTGTGCCATTTGAATTGCCTCTAGAAATTAATTGCTATTAAATATTTTGTGCTTAGATTTTTATGTCTTATATTGTGTTGGATTCTCTTTTTCAACAGAAATACAAGCCTTTGGTAACTTTAAACACAATTAGTGGATTATAATATTAGTTAAGTACTTTAGAGTTGAGGATATAGCTCAGTGGCACTAGTGCCTGCCTGACAAAAACAAAGTCCTGAGTTTGATTCCCAGTACCGGAAAAAAAAAAAAAAAAACACTTCACAGTTTTTTAAAACTTTCCATAGCCAAGCATAAGCACTTGCCTGGCAAGTGCAAGGTCCTGAATTTAATTTCTAGTACCCAAAAAACAGAAACAAACAAAACTTTCTGTGCAGGAGGCTAAGGCAGAAAGTTCACAGTTTGAGCCCAGCCAGGTAATTTAACAATTTACTGAAATCCTGTCTCAAAATTTTAAAAAAGGGCTGGGGATCCTCACCATGGTAGCACACGCCTCTAATCCCAGTGTTTGGGAGGCTGAGGCAGAAAGATCACTGTGAGCTCAAGGCCACCCTGGGCTACAAAGTGAGTTCAAGGCCAGCCTGAACTGCATAGTAAAACCTGTCTCAAAAAGACCAAGGTGGTGGGCTAGGGAATAATACCACAGTGTGGGGCTGGGGCTTTAGCTCAGGGGCATTAAGCGCCTGCCTTGCAAGTGTGCAGTCGTGAGTTCCATCCCTGGTACCGATGAAAAGGAAAAAGACAAAAAAAAAAAAAAAAAAACCACAGTACAAAAATCCTGGGTTAAATTCCTCAGTACCACCCCCCCCCAAAAAAAAAAACTCTGGCAAGAGGAAACTAGTAGATTTCATCCTTATAATGTTCACAGACCCCATTCCTCTAACAAATCTAACAAGAACTGAGCCATATTCTGTAGTCTTTTAAGTGTTATTGTTCATAGCTACTCATTTAAATTGTGTTGGTTTCTTTATCCTCTCTGGGTTTTTTCCTTAACAGGTTCAGCAGTCCATTTCTAAAACCTGTGTCAGAAAAGCAGGCCCCAGGGTACAACGATGTGGTAAAAAGGTCAGTAGAAAGTGGTCGAGATTTTGGCCACTTTCATATTTTTTACGTTGCATACAAACTATAGAAGTTTATAAAGTTATGGTAAGCTCATTGTCTTCATTTGAGAAGTAATGTAGGGAACAAAAGAATGATTTAGTCTATTTATTTATTTGTTAATATCAACCCTTAAAGTAATATGATTCATTCATTATACTCTTAAATTAGCCTTCGTTAATTTTAGACACTATTCTTTTGGTTTTTTGTATTGTTTTTCATAAGTGGGGATTGAACCTAGGACCCTTATACTGAGCTACATTCAGCCGATTTTTTATTTTGAAACATAGTCTCACAAAATTGCTAAATTACCCTGACTGGGCAATTTGGAACCCGCCTGCAGTCTCCCAGAGTACTAGGACTATAAGCAGGAACTGCCATGCCTAGTTTTGACACTATTCTTTTGGAGCAAAATTTAAAAAGTGTTAAAGATCTAAAATGCCCCCAACTTGATAAAATGTCCCCCAAAGGTGCTGGGCATTCCGAAGGTGATTGGATTGTAGGAGCACTGCATTTAGCTGAATGTGCTGCATATAGTTGACGTGGGACTTGAGTGAAAGAAGTATGTCCCTGGGGACTTACCTTTTGAAAAGGTATATCGTGCTCTTTGGCTTATCCTTTCTCTTTACTTCCTGGCTGCCAATGAGCAGCTTTCTTGTGCCATCCCCTTTTACCATGCTATTTCATTTTGGAGCCAGCTGACTGTGGACTAAATACCCCCAAACTGTAGCCAAATTAAACCTCTCCTTGTTAAAGTTGTCTTGAGTATTTAGTCTCAGGAACTTAAAAGTGTCTAATATGAAAAAGGAACCCTATATTCATTCAGTTGTAGGCCTGCTAAGGCAAAGATGTTAATCCAAATGGGAGTTACAAACATTGAAAAGGGCAGTAGTGTGTGTGTGTGTGTGTGTGTGTGTGTGTGTGTGTGTGCTTTTTTGAGACAGGGTCTCACTCTGTAATTCAGACTGGCTTTGAATTCACTATGTGGCTCAGGCTGGCTTCAAAAATTGTGGCAATCTTCCTGTCTTACCCTTGAGAGTGCTGGAATTACAGGTGTGTGTCTCCATGCCATGCAAATTTGTATTTTGGACTTTAATGGCATATTTCATCTAAAATGATGTCAAAACCAGGCATGGTGGCACACACCTGTAATTCTAGCACTCTGGAGGCAGAGGTGGGTTTGCTAAAAGTTTAAGGCTACCCTGGACCACATAGGTAGACTCTGGCTCAAAAAATAAAAAATAGAGTACAATATAATTCAGTACAAAAAATGATGCCACATTGTAAAAAATATCATAAACCAATGTGGTAATAGAATATAAAGAAAAATCATGGGGTGAGCCAGGGGTTGAGCTCAGCAGCACAAGCACCTGCCTGGCAAGTGCGAGGTCATGAGTTCAATCCCCGGTACTCCAAAACAAACAAAAATCATGGGGCTGGAGATATGGCTCAGTGGTACAGTTCCTGCCTGACAAGTGCAAGGTCATGAGCTTGACTCCCAATAACCACCCCCCCCCATCATGATAGACTCTTTGGAGACTGACTTAGTCTGTTAGTACTGCTGTAAGAAAATACCACAGATTGGGTTTTACAAACAATAGAAGTTTACTTTACTTACTTCTGAAAGCTCAGAGGACAAGAACAAAGTGCCAGATGGATTGGTATCTAATAAGGGCTCCTCTTTGTTTGCAGGATAGCATCTTCACACAAAGAAAGTGACAGAAGGGAAAGGGATGCTTTCTTCAATCTCAAACCCTTTTATGAGGATGCTCAATCCTACAGAGAGTGGAGCCCTTGAGATTTAAATTACCTCCCAGAGGCCACACTTCTTAATACTGGGGATTAAGTTTCAACATGAGTTTTGGAGGGGACACCATCATTCAGACTAGCAGAGATGAACTTCTTCATCCTGTAAATGAGAAAAGTAAGATTTTGGGATAGTTAGGACTTGCCTGTGATCAGCCAACAGCTAATGGCAGAGCTAGAACTAAACCTTAGGCTCTTCTAGTTCAGTGCTGTATCCTCATTGCTCTGCCTACTCTTGTGTACCTATTCTTTTTGTTTCATTAAATAATTATTTATTTAAATTTTAACCTTCACTATATTCAGCTGGGTGTGACTGTAATCCCAGGCTATACAGCTGGGTGCATGCCTGTAATCCAGAATTTGGGAGGCTGAGGCAGGAGGATCACCATAAGTTCAAAACCAATTTCTATCTCAAAGAATAAAAAATTCATTGTATTTGCACTTTTCATTTCTGTGAAATGGAGCTTAGTTCTTAATTTTTATAAGAGAAATAGATTAAATACCTAACATATGACTGTACATTATAAATGGCAAATAATTGCTATGTAACTAATTGCTGGATCACCTTATAATTTTGGTACCTGGAGCCAGCAGTATTCCTATAGTATTAAGATGGCTTAATATCACCACCTGCTTGCAAGGCAGGTGCTTAAGCCGCTGAGCTAAATCCCCAGCCCCAGGCCTCACTCTTAGGCAAGCACTCTGCTGAGCCATATTCTCAGCGGTTTTTTTTTTTTTAGGTAAGGTCTACTCTGAGGGATAGTCTTGAATTCATGATCCTCTTACCTTTGTAACTCCCCAAGTAGCTGAGATTACAAACGTACACCACTGAGCCTGGCTCTCTCTCCTACTAAAGAGGCTGAGGCAAGTGGATCTAGAGTTCCAGGAGACCTTGAGCAACATAGCAATATTCTATTTCTTAAAATAACAACAATGACAGCAACAATAACTACCTAATATGTGTATTGAGAGGATTAGAAGAGGAGCTGCTCTTTTGTTATTTGAAAAGGGTTACTATCTTTAGTAACTTTTCACTAAAAGCCAGATAATTTCTTCCATACTAAAGTTTGCAGCTATGTGGTGGAACATGCCTGTAATCCCAGCACTTGGGAAGCTGAGGCAGGAGAACTAATGGAGTTTGAGACCAGCCTAGACTACATAGTGAGTTGAAGGCCAGCCTGAATAGACCCTGTCTTGAAAAAAAAAAAAAAAAAAAAAAGTTTGAAGTCGTCAGGCTTTTTTTTTGACCGTCTGTAGACCCATGGACTTAACTAGCCTGAAGAGGAATCTGTCTAAGGGACGGATACGTACCATGGCGCAGTTCCTGCGAGACCTGATGCTGATGTTCCAGAATGCTGTGATGTACAATGACTCTGATCATCACGTGTATCACATGGCTGTGGAGATGCAGCGAGAAGTCTTGGAGCAGATTCAGGTATCACAAAGAGCCCCAAGAAAAAAGAAGAAGAGTAGCCTCTGGAATTTGGCTTTGGAAAGTCTATGAAAAATAAGGCTGATACTGTGACTTTGGATTCCCAGAATTTATTTTCAGACCTTAAGGACTGATGTTGTACCTGCTGGTTTGGAAAATACTAAAGCTCAGTAGCTCCAGTTTTAATACATAGTAAAATGAGGTAGACTAGAAAAGCAAGTGGCAAGAGAACTGGGGATGGACAAGTAAGAGGAACTTCTATTTCAGAGCCTAAAGCTGAAGGCCCAAACCAGCTGAAGTACAAACCAGAGGCTGCAGTCACATTCCATTTTTCAGTGACTGTATCTGTAGGCATTAATGTGCATTCAGACTTTCCCACCTTTAGAGGATAATACATATGTAGTACCTTCCAAAAAACATTTGGGGGGCTGGGGATTTAGCTCAGTGGCATAAGCGCCTGCCTTGCGAGCAGGCAGTTGTGAGTTCGATCCCTGGTACCGATAAAAATGAAAAAGACAAAAAAAAAAATTTGGGAGGGCCAGGGGTTTAGCTCAGCAGTGCAAGTACCTGCTTGGCAAACATAAGTTTGTGAGTTTGATCCCAGGCACCAAAAAAAAAAAAACAAACAAACAAAGAACCAAAAAAAAAAAAAATTGGGGGTTTCTTTTCTGGGCAGTGACATCCTTTAAAGAAAAAAAATACGATGAAATCGATTTGCTGAAAAGAAATAAAATTATGCTCAATACTTTGTAGCCAGTAGATTCATAGCTTGCTGTCTGTTTGTTGACAGGTGCTGAATATTTGGTTAGACAGAACAAGAGACCTAAGTAGTCCAGAACCAGTACCAGCCAACCCAGTGGATGGTGGGAATCTGCTCTGTTAACCGGGGTCTGCTGCCACAACCATTTCCAGAGTTTTTTTACCTTCTCCTTGAGACTGATCAAAAAAGATCCTAGAACACTTCATAGTTGTCTTTTCTAGTAAGAGTGATGTCTTACCTTGCAACCAAGAAGCTGAAGATGCCTGAAAGTCTGATATTTTTAGAGATGGTGATGTGGGGGAGCTGAGATTTGGGTTTCTGCCATTAATATGCCTACATTTTTGTTCTACAGGCTTAATCTGTAGGCAATTAGATGAAACATTTTACTATTGTTGTATAAATAAATATTTCATAAACCAGATTGCTTTTTAATGATTATAGAAGCTGATAGATAGCAGCATGCATTGAAACAAGTTAGCCAGTTGACTCAAGTCTCTATATATGCTTTCTGGAAGGAGTTGAAGGAGCCTGGGGGAAGCATCTATAACATCTCATATAAAGTCATAGGGTGCAATTGAAGCACCCTTCAAATAACCAGGAGTTTAGCCAGGCACAATAGTATACCCTGTTATCTCAGCACTGGGGAGGCTGAGGCAGGAGAATCACTGTAAATTCAAGGCCAGCCTAGATTACATAGTGAGTTCAAGGCCCAACTGAATTACAAAGCCTCAAAAAAGTCACACAAAAACAAATAGGGACTTAAAAGAAATTATAGCTGTTATAGCTGGGCCTGTGGCATAGGCATGTAATTCCAATACTCTGGAGACTGAAGCATTAGTATCATAGGCTTGAGCCTTCCTTGGGCAAAGTAGCACTTAGCAACACATTATTAGGAAGTGTGTGTGTCTGGGGGATGACAAAAAAAAGGGCTGGGGATGTTAGGTCAGTGCGAAGGCCCTGGAGTTCCATGCAAGGTAACCCCTAGGATAAATATGAGGAAACTGTTAGGAAACATCTAGTGCGCTAAGATTTATAAGGGAAATAAAAAACACCTGTGGCTGATTTCCCTTGGTTAAAACTAGTGCTACTTATTACTGGAATTGGCCCTCTAGCGCCACCGTCCTGTGGCAAACTGCGGCTTCAAGTCTCCTAGCAACAAGCTGTGGAGGAGCTAGAAGGGCGAAGAGGTGAGTGCCCCAGGGGGTCCCTCCCAAGTGGATTGTCAGATGACCGGGGTCTCTGCTTTCCAGTTAGGCTTTACTCTACACACAGAGTGTGCCCAGTGGGTCTCTTCCCTAAATAAGCTAGCTGGGGCCATTCTGCGGTTGTCGGAGTGTCGTGCAGTGTTGCTAACCAGACCAGTCCCCTCCCTTTTCCCCACCTCCTTTGCCTGCTGCTGGACCCTGCTCCCTATCAGTTCCTCACTGCCGCGCCAAGTCTCCCCTTGGTCCTGATCCTATGAGATCCCCTGGGCTCAACTTGGTCACAAGAGAAATCATTGAGACACTGCTTATAGAAAAATAGATGGCAGTTTCTACTTTTATAAGTTTATAAAATCTAATCCCTAATACTGCTACTCTTAGTCACAATTACATTGAATTTGGGATGGGGGATGCATGTCATTGCAGTTGATACCTGTCAAGAAACTTAGATTGTACCTGGAAAGGCCAAAATGGAGTTATCAATGCCCCCACCTCAGATCTATGTAGAAAAAACTCTGGCCATTATCAAACCTGATATTGTTGACAAAGAGGAGGAGATCCAAGATATTATTCTCAGATCCGGCTTCACCATTGTTCAGGTAACATCTAAAATTATCATACTGGGTTGTTTTTGTTTTTGCGTTGTTACATTTTGTGGGTGCATTTTAGGTATACATAATGATAGCATTCATCACAAGGAATTTGTACCTGTGCATGATATGTCTTGTTTCTTCTTTTTTCTCCATTCCTCTCCCCTCCAACTCCTTTTCACCTCCTTATTTACAAAATCCGTGTTTCCGTTTTTTCCTTCTCTATTGTTTCCTTGTCCCTTCTTTCCTCTTCACCCTCCCCTTCCCTTGTTTCCCTTCTCATTTGAACATTTTCTTCCCATTTCCCAGTATCTGTTATACATTTTGGCCCTTACAGTTTTGGTTTCTCACACAAGAGAAACAATGCAGTATTTAAAGTGTGTGGTCTGATTTATTTTCACTTCAATGCATGGTCCCAAAGTTCCTCCATTTAGCTCTAAATGTCTCTATCTTATCCTTTTTATAGTAGAATAGTATTTCATTGTATAAAAAAACCTCACATTTTCTTTACCCATTCATCAGCTGATGGACATTTGGGCTGTTTCAAAGATTTAGTTACTATAAACTGCCACTTATCCCTGTGATATGTAGATGTCTTGTGTTCTTGGAGTTCTGTTTTCCTCACTTATTTTTTTCCTCCATGCTTGAGAAGTATTCTGCCATTCTTTCTTTATTTTATTTTATTTTTTTTTTCCTTTTTATCGGTACCAGGGATCGAACTCACAACCACACACTTGCAAGGCAGGCACTTATGCTGCTGAGCTAAACCTCCAGCCCCATCTGCCATTATTTCTTTGAACAGGTTTTTTTATGTCATTTGCACTCTACTGCTTTTTTCAAAAAATCTAACGTTCTTTGCATCATCTAGCGGCTGTTGGATTGATTTTTCATGGTCCCTTACTATTTTTGAGAAATCTTCCTTTTCATGATTGCTAACCACAATCCTGTCTTTTATATCTGATATGGAATTATCACACTGTTTTTAAATCTTGGCTCCTGCCTCCTTTTTAAAATTCCTTATGTAAATGTGTATTTGCTAGATGTAGTGGCACATACCTGTGATCCCTATGAGTTTGAGGCCATCCTGGGCTATATAGTGAATTCAAGGTCAACCTGAACAGCATGATGAGACTCAAAATATAGTAACAAAAAATGTGTGCCCCAATTAGGTCCTTAATGTTAAGTTTAATTTGGGTTTATTTTCAAGTAGAAAAGTTGTATATGATAGTTTCTGACACTTCAAAAAAAAAATTAAAAGAGGCATGCTGATATTTACCTGTAATCCCAGCACTTGAGAGGCTGAGGCAGGATTGCTGTGAGGGTGAGAGCAGCCTGGGCTATATAGCAAGACCTTCTCTCAAAATAATATATATATATATATATATATATATATATATATATATATATATATATATATATAGAGAGAGAGAGAGAGAGAGAGAGAGAGAAAATTGCCTCCTTGTTCACTTGCCCTTTCCATCCCAAGTCCTAGCCTCCAGAAAAAGGCAACCACTCTTCTCTTCTAGGAACTTTCTGTTTACAAACTTGCCTTCCTCATAAAATAGAACTGTTCCCTCCACATCCCCACTTACAAAGTCCCTTAAGTAGCATTCTAGATCATTGCATCTTAATCTATCTCATTCTTTTTTTTGAGGGGGGTACTGAAAATTGAACTCAAGACCTTGTGCTTGCCATTCAGGCACTTATACCTCTTTATATCCCTGACCCCAAGCTATCGCATTCTTTTTTTTTTTTTATCGGTACCGGGGATCGAACTCACGACTGCCTGCTTGCAAGGCAGGTGCTTATGCTGCTGAGCTAAATCCCCAGCCCCTCAAACTATCTCATTCTAATTTAAACTTTTTTTTTTTTTGAGACAGGTTCTTGCTATGTAGTTCAGGCTGCCCTCCCCTTGAATTCACTGTGTAGCCCATGTTAGTCTTGAACTCACAGTGATCCTTCTGCCTCAGGGTTCCCAATGCTGGAATTATAGGCATGCACCACCATACCTGGCCTCATCTCATTCTAACTTCTGAGAAATAGTCTCCTGCACAATTTAATTACCTGGTTTTAAAAATGTATATACTTGAAATTCTATTGGAGGACTTTTAGGTTCTTGGTATTTTTTTTTCAGTTATAAACATTTGTTCCACAGTTTGTAAACATTTTTATTTTACAGATTGGAAAATAAATATTAAAAAGTAAACATTATCCAATTAGGTATAATGGCCCCTGCCTGTTATCCCAGTTTTGAGGAGGATGAGGCAGAAAGATCTCCATGAATTTGAGGCCTGAGCTACAGAGTGAGATCCTGTCTCCTGGCACATCTCTATAATCCCAGAACTTGGGAGGTAGAGGTAATGGGATCATCATAATTTCCAGGCCATCATGGCATACATAGTTGGTTCAAGGCCAGCCTGAATTAAAATACAAAACTCTATTGTTTTCTTGAAAGTGCTTAACCAAAAAAAAAAACAAAAACAAAAACTCTATTTTTAAAAAACCTGTCAAAGAGAATTGAATATTTTAATTTTCCTATTTTGTGTCAGTTTTTTTTTCTGTTACATGTATACATGTCATATTGCCTAATCAGTGTTTTAAGAATAAAAGAAGACTTCAGTTATCAGGAAATATATAATTTCATTTGAATTTTCAAGGATAGATAGAGGCCTGGGGTAGGCATGTTATAAGAAATTGTAAGGAAATATTTAGTACAAGTTAAAAATTCAGGTAATAAAGAATTTTTTACTAATTTCAGCCAGGATTATAGGCATGTACCACCATGCCTGAGTTTGCCTTGAATTTTAGAACCCTTACTTTTAATTTTAGAGGGAAAAAAAACGAGTGCTTGCACAGAACTAACCCAACAGTTTAGGAGACTATGGCAGGAGGCTGGCAAGTTGAAACTCAGCCTGGGAAGTTCAGTGACATTTTTTTTTTTTTTTTTTGAGACAAGGTTTCACTGTGCAGTTTAGGCTGAACTCAGTTTATAACCCAGGCTGGCCTTGAATTTGCAGTGATCCTCTTGCCTCAGCCTCCCATGTGCTAGGGTTACAGGCATGTGCCACCACACTCCGCTCAGTGATTTTTCAAAACTCTCAAAGCAAAAAAGCAATGGTAGCTCAATACAAAAGCCCAGGTTCAATCCCCCGAAACATACATGGAAACCCTATTATTAATAATACATGTATGGGCCTGGGGATTTAGCTCAGCAACATAAGTGCCTGCCTTGCAAACGCGTGGTCATGAGTTTGATCCCTGGTACTGGTAAAAAAAATAATAATAATAATAATAATACATGTAATAATTAAGTGGCTAGTGGTAATTATAAATTAAAATTTAATATGCATAAAATAATAAAATTGTTATGCTTAAAAAATTATATAACATTTTCTCTAATCACCAACAGATTGTAGATCAAAGGCAGCCATAGCATGTTCTGCGGTACTGCTACTTTTTTCTTAAATTGTGGCCAAATATACAGAATATTTACCATTTTGATAATCAGGAGTGGAGTTCAGCATCATTAAATTACATTTACCTTATTGTGCAGCTGTTACCACCGACCATTTCTAGAACTTTTTCATTTCAGACACTCTGTTCTCCTTCTTTCCCTTGGAAACCACTATTCTGCTTTGTCTCTCTAGAAATATGAGTTTAGCTATTTCATATAAGTGAACTTATATAATATTTTCCCTATTGTACCATATGTTATAAAAATAGGCTTTACTGGAGTTGGGGATCCACTGAACACAAAGCTTTCTTGCCCATGTAGAGGAAACATTTGAAAACTGACACATCTTTTCAGTAGGTGGCAGTCTTTCCTTTGTTACAAACTGTAAGTGCTCTTCCTGATAGTATTTGATAATCACTGCTTCTCTTTTTGTCAGCCTAATTTCAAAAAAAATTCACCTGGGGGCTGGGGATTTCGCTCAGTTTCATAAGCGCCTGCCTTGCAAGCAGGTGGTGGTGAGTTCGATCCCTGGTACCGATAAAAACCGAAAAAGAAAAAAAAAAAAATTCACTTGATTTAATTTAATTTAATATTTTTGGTACCAGGGATCAATCTCACCTTCTGATGCTTGCTAGGCAGGTGCTTGTGTCACTGAGCTAAATCCCCAACCCCCTGATCTAATTTTAAAACAACCAATAGAATACTTGATTCACTATCGAGTGAATTTAAAGATGAGCTCTTATGGGACTGGGATTTAGCTCAGTGGCATAAGCACCTGCCTTAAAGCAGGCAGTTGTGAGTTCGATCCCTGGTACCAATAAAAAGGAAAAAGACAAAAAAAAAAAAAAAAAAGAGTTCTTAATTTTTTTTTTTTTTCTTTTTTTATCGGTACTGGAGATTGACCTCCCGACCGCCTGCTTGCAAGGCAGGTGCTTATGCCGCTGAGCTAAATCCCCAGCCCCTTCTTAATTTTAAAAATTATGCTGCATCATAATGTCCCACTATGATTTGCTAGAATTACAGTATTAGAACAGATCTTAGCACTTATTCAATAGTAACTGGTCCTTAAATGCTGAGAATGTTATATTTGTCCAAAAGGGGCCTGTTCACAGCAGTGCTGAACCATCTAAGTGAGCATGTTTCTAAACTTTCTACTCTAGGCAGTTTAAATCCCTAGGTATAAAACCAACTTTACCAGGTTTCTGGAACCTGAAGAAATGTTTTGCAAGGGGCTTTAAGAAGTAAGTCACAGGGGCTGGGGATTTAGCTCAGCGGCATAAGCGCCTGCCTTGCAAGCAAGCAGTTGTGAGTTCGATCCCAGTTAACAATAAAAAAGAAAAAGACCAAAAAAAAAAAAAGAAGTCACTGCCACGATAGTGGTAAACACCTGTTATAATGCCTGCACCCTAATATGCTGAGACAGGAAAATTACAAATTCAAGCCCAACAAGGGCAATTTAGTAACTAAGAGTAGTCTGGAAAAGAGGACTATGTATATATAGCTCAGTACAAAGACCCTGGGTTCAATCCCCAGTACTACAAAAGAAAACAAAAAA